CAGAATTAAAGTTAAAGAAGCGGCAAGGACCTCAGGGGCGGTCTAACTCGGGTCGACCCCCCCGCGTGCTTTTGGTGCTGTCACCTCTCGACCTTTCAAGGCGCTGTCCATCCATCCATTCTCCTCCTCCTCCTGCTCCACCTCCCCCCCATCAGCCCATGTAGAGGTTCGTGGTCCACCGCGGCCAGGGGGCCGCGGCGCCGAACGCGGGGCGCCGCGAGGCCGGGCGAGATGTTCCGCGACGCGCCCCTGGCGCCTTGCTGCCGCCAGGTCGGCCCCGATGGCGTCGGCTTGCGATTAAGTCGGGCCTGCCCCTCTACAGGGCAGGCGCGGCGGCAGGGGGCTCGGCATTTCCCCGCGAACGAGCGGAGTGGCCGCGGTATCTCGAGCAGGGGGGGCGGGGGAGGAGCGAGGAGCGAGTTGGGTTAAGTCGGGTCTGGCCCTTAGGAAACTTCAAAAGTAGTCAACACATAGTCTGTGGAGGATTTGTTTGATTATTTTTGACAATTTTGGAATACTTTTTGAGTATTTTGAATGGTTCATCCAATATCCGCCTGGAGCGGGACATTCCCGACCTAAGAGTTGGGGCGAGTGGAGGACTGCAGCGGAGGGCATGCCAGCGCCACCTACAACGACCGCAGATGACCGCGGCTGATAGCAGCATCCCAGACCGCTCGGGGGGAAACCCATGCCGCGGCGCGCAAGCACGCGCGCACGGCCGGCAAGGAATATGCGTCAATCGAATTCGTGGATCTGGCAGCGAAGCAAGGACACACCCCACGAGGCATCCGATGGCTGGGCATCGAGGAAAAGCTACCAGATGAGGCCAGCCCATCGTCTCCATCACCGGGGCCTGGCACATGCTTATTCGACAGGCGGACATGGCCCCAGTGCGCCGGCGCCGGCCGCAGGGAGCGGGCCCGCCGCAATTCGATGCCCGTGGCTCGCGAGGCAGGGGGCTGATCCACAAGCTACCACTCATTGGGGAGGCTTGGTGCACGAGGCGCATTGAACAGACATTTCAGATAAAACGCTTGGGTTTTTGCGAAACTGCGCAGGCGTGAAGACGCGACCCTGTCCACCACGGCAGTAGGCTACTGATCACGACAGGCCAGATGGTCATTCGCGGCTGCCCTGAAAGACGTCTCCAGTGTTTCCCAGAGCGCGAGATCTGGGTTCACATATCAGGTCATTCGCAAAATGTTGTAAGCCCCCTGGCCGTCTTCTTTGTAGACAAGGCTATCGCATGTCTGCCTTTCAGCTAGAAGCCTCGACAGGTATCTCACTGTAAAGACGGAGTGGGCGGAGTAATGGGGGACCCCATCCAACGCGCGTGGATACGCGGGCGCCCTCGCGCCGTCGGTTGAGGAGTTGGCGGCAGCGATGAAAGAGCGCTCGCCTTCTACCATTCTTCCATCATCCAAGTGGCGCGGGGAAGTAGTTGAGATGTCCTTCCAGAAGTGCGCAGATGATTAGTTCGGAAGCATTCCCCGCCCATTTGGTGCCTGCGCGAAGGAGATGTATAGCATGTTGAGGAAGTCTGATACCCTTCTTTTGGGCACGGTTCTGGACTGGGCGGGGCGACTGCAACATTTCGTGGAACTGGGTCGCGCCATCTAACGTCGAGCGGGCCGGCGCTATTGAGCTTGAGGAGCAGATCAGAAAGCACGCGCGACGCGTCACTCGCGGGGTGGAGGGCGCGGCGACGGACGTTGCCAGGAATCTGAGCCCCGTCATCACCCCCACTCGGCAGTCGGCGCCAGCGGTGGAAGAAGGATGGCGGCGGCGACGCCGGCGTGCTACAGCATGAGCGAATTCTGGTCCTCCCACGCCACGTGGGCCTGGAAGCGACAGATTTGTCTGGGACGGTTTAGAGGGCTTTTTCGTCGGGGTTGGAACCGTTCATCACCGGCAATGAGCAGCGAGCAGCGCTGGGTAGACATGTCGCACGATTGGGGGGATCGGCGATCGATTGTTTTGCCTTCGCTGGGCATCAGGATCACATGGAAAGGGTTCCTCCCGCGCGGGCCATCCAGGAATGAATGGCTCGGAGTTTCGTGGTTGGCCTCTTTTTACCAGGAGCTTCTGGCCACGACATTTTCTTTGCGCCATTGTTGGTCGCCGCATCAGGAGTCGCACATCCAGATCCTGCCTGCGTCGTGTGGTGGGCTGTCGCTCGGGGAAGGGGCTGCGCGGCTCTGCGCTGCTAAGGGGCTGGCAGAGTTTGCCTCCCCGTGGGCCGAGAGCTGGAATTGGGAATTGGCGCTTCCGAGGTGGCAGCGCGCTGCCGCGACCCAGAAGAACGATTGATGTCTCTTAGCCCGCGCCCCCGACGACGACTGGAAGATGGCGACGTGCGTAGAGAATTGTCTCGCACCGGTTTCTGGAGGTTTTGCGGGCGTGCTAGAGCGCGCGCGACGCCGCCACTGCCTTGGGATAAGAAATGGGAGGGGGGGGGGGGGGGGGGGGCAGGGCGCGGGCGCTGCGGAAGAGACGATGCAGTTCACGCGCCTTCGCAAATGCACGGTGGAGGGGGGGGGGGGGGGCGGGATGGGGCAGTATCTCTACGACAGGAACATGACCAACGTAACAATCACGCCATGCACGTGACATGCGCAACCTCAGCCATATTCTGACAACAGCAAACACGTGCACTGTTTGTCAGGGGATCTCCGAGCCAATTCCCAGATGACCGCGCCCAGGCGCACACCGCGCTCGACATTGTCAGGTTCTCGCGGTCCTTGGGGGGCTCGGTCCGTGATGCCCTGGGCGGGGTCAAAGGATTTCGCGTGCAAGCTGCGTGATTATGGGGGCGGATGTATACGTGGTACCCGCATGGGTCTCGTGGCTCATCTACCCTTTCGCTCTGTAGTTCGCCCTCCCAGTCCTCTTCGGAATGCCTCATGGTGCCGACGATAATTCAGGAGCAAGGGAAGCTGAAGATTAAGGTCCGCGGCGAAGGCCGCTCGAGGCTCAGGAACAGCAGGGAAGGAGCCAGCGGCGACAGGAGGGAGAGGAGGAGTGGACGTAAACACATCCAGTTGTTGCTGGCCGCCCTCGGAAGAACCGCGCCCGCGGGTGCAAGGCGCATTGCGCCATTCAGGAACGCAGCGCGCGAGGCGTAGTTCGCGGGCGAGTCCGACGGCTCGTTGGGCCACGCGCGCAAGGACGCGGACGCCGAGTGCGAAGAAGGACAGAAGGCCTTGCGGGCGGCCGAGGATAAAGGGGCAGGAGGTGGACTCAGGATCGGGGGCCAGCCGTGCGTGACAACCGTCGCGCACGCGACGCATGGGCGCCGATGCAGTGCGGAGGTGGGGGGGGGGGGGGGGGGGGGAGGGGGGGGGGGGGGGGCAGGGAATTCCCGAGCGGCTGCGTCAAGTGCTGCAAGAAGCGGGCAAGGAGATGTGTTCGCAGGCATGGCGCTCAGGGAGACGACGGCGATGGGCATATGGCAGGCCGCCTTGGCGCAACTGTTTCGGGGCACCCAGATCGATCGCGCCACGGGGCTGGTTCCCAAGGGGGCCATGAGAGAGGGATGCGTCCATGATGTTGAACGAGATGAGTGGCAGGAAGGCGACGGTCCAGGGGGGGGTTAGGAGGCTGGATGATATCCAGAGCCGATCAGTGGGGGTCGCGCGCCTGCAACCGCCCTGGCTTCCCCGCCCGCATCAGTGATTACATTTGCCGAAGGATAGATTCCTCTGGTGGTCGTGAAAAGGGTGCATTTAAGAGGGCAACAGGCCGCCGACCTCAGGAGAACGCCGATGCGGGCGCAGGGCGGTAAAGGCACGGGCCGATGGCGCGAAGGCCATGGACGCGGCAGAGGCTGCGCGCCTGTTGCGCGGGCCGCTTCCAAGGGGCAGCGCGGGCTGATGCCCGAGTGGCTTTGGTCGCTCGGAGCGCTTCAGGGCACGATCGTAGTCGCATCGTGACGCCCGCGTGCGTCAGCAGCTCCGAGTGGACTGTTCTGGGCCCCATCCACCTCCCCCTCCCCCCCCCCTCCCCCCCCTCCTCGTTGACCGCGGCTGGGGCTACGACGAGGTCGTGAAGGGCGGGGCGCCAACCATGGGCGGCGGGGCAGCGGCCGAGACCATCATCAGCATCCAGCCCCAGTGGTCGCCGTGCAAGTTCCCCAGTCGAGCGGTCAAAGGATGGACCCCGCACGGAGTAAAGATCGTGAAGCCGCCCCTGCAGAAGCAGCCGCCCATGCAGGACATGGCGCAGCAGCCGCTCCCGACGCATCGCCCCAGCAGCAACGACGTTAGAACGCACGACCAGGAGGCAGCACGCGCTGCAGGGTGGGGAGTCGGCATCGGCGGCCCCAGCACCAGCGCGCAGAACACAAAAGGGGTCGAAGCGTGAGAAGCCTGTCAGCTTGCGCCCGCCAGACAGCCAAGCAGTACTATACCCAACTGCAGGGCGCCGAAGGGCACTGAGCAGCAACAGCAAGGTTCAGGCGCCCGCCAGCTTGCCAAGGAGCGCTGTGCACAGCTGCAGGGGGCCGAAGGGCACTCAGCAGCAGCAGCAGCAGCAGCAGCAGCAGCAGCAGCAGCAGTGCACTATAATGTGCCAGCCTGAAGAGAACAATGAGGGTTGGGTGGGTGTGGTGATTGGGTGGAGTTGTGGTGTGTGGGGGAGAGTCGAGGTCCTCAGCACGGGTCGCCCCGCCCCCGAGGAGCGGGGGCAGCGCCCCCTGCCCGCTTTTTTGTTTTGTCTCTCATGCACCCGTGGGCGGGGTCTCCCGCTGTAGGGGCACGGGGGCCACCCTCTACCGAGAGGGGGGCCCGACGCCCTAGGCAGCTCCCTGGCCTCGAAGTCCAGGAGGCTTGCATCCATATGCTTCCCTAGGGGTCCTTTTCGAGGCGCAGGGCCCCAGCTGGGGCGCACGAAGACCTGAACCCCCCATGGGCCTTCACCTTTACCTTTACCCCCTCCTCCTCCTCCTTTTCCTCCTCTTCGTTGTCCTCCTCTTCTTCCCTTTGCGCCACCCATCCCCGCAGGAGCGGGGATCGACCGCGAGGTGTGGTTCCGGCGCCTTTCCGAGGAGGGCGACGGCGCGGGCCCGAGGCCAGGGGGGGGGTCAGAGGCGACGAGACAGACGCCAACGGGAGAGCCGATACGATTGCGAGCAAGATGTGTACGAATATTATCCAGTGCACGTTGGGGGTTCGGGCCCTTTCTTCCCACGACGCACACGAGGCGCAGGAGGCATGTACAGGGTTTTGGTCCCATGCAGGTTTTGCATTTATACAATCGGTTTACGCCATTTTGCCGACCCCCGTAGCGGCGAATTCGTCAATAGTCGTGCCACCTTGCCTGGCCTGTGGGTCAGAGCCTCGGGGGTGTACGCGACGGTGTCCCGGAATGCTTCCCATGGGGCCTATTGCGCGGCTTGTGGAGGCATTGGGCTGGCGTTTGGGGGCCTCCTGGGGGCCTCCCGGTTGCCTCTTGGGAACCTCTTGGGGCCTTCAGGGGTCCCCTTGGGGGTCCTGGGGGGCTTTGGGGGCCATCGCGGCGGGAAAGGGTCTCGATGTCACGCCAGATTGCCCCTCTGTGGTCCCTCTTGGGGGCCTCCGAAGCTGTGTGAGGGCCCTCATGGGCCGTTTTGCGGCCTTTGGGGGGGCCTCATGGGTTGTTGTTTGACGATCTGTGGAGCCCCTTTGGCAGCAATGGGCGCTGTCAAGGCGAACGTAGCGTGTATGTTGAACCTACACAGTGTTCTCAGGGTGTGACAGTATGTGTGCCTTTTGGGGCCCTCTCGGCTGCCCTCTGGGAGTGAGCACTTTTTGGCCGTCCTGGGCGGCCCCGTAGACGTCTTAAAACCATTTTACGCCGTCGCGTGGGGCTACCCTGGGCCATTTTCGACGCTCTCTTGGAAAATGTGTGCGCTCATTGAGCCGTCTTGGGGAGAGCCCCCAGGGGTGCGTTGGCGACCTCGTCCCCCCGGCCCCCCCCCTGTAATGAGATTGTTGGCTTCAGAGGAGAGGGGGACAGCCACAGATTTGACACGCCTTCTCACCCGAGGCAATCAGGGTCAGATTTCTTGGGTCCGCGCTGGGCCCCCCCCTCCCTGGCGCGCGGAGCGCGCCAGGGGCGGTCCACATGCGAACATGCTCGCTTCTCGCGGTGATTGGATGGAGCTTTCTGTATGACACGATCGGCGTGCGCACTGCCGAAATTGGGGGGGGGGCGGGGGGCGGGGCACCCCGCGGGCACCCCCGCCAGGGCACGAAGAGATCCGTGTGGGCCACGATCCACGTCATGGGTGTGCCGCAACAGGCAGGAGGGCGCATTGGTGACGTCCGCACTAGGGCCGTAGGTGATTTGCCATGCTTTACCGGGGGCACCACACGCGCGAGGGGTGTGCCAAAAGTGAACGAGGGAACGCAGTGCGACCGCGCACGTTGTGGCCGTAAAGCCGTACATGGCGCTCCTGTGATGGGGGCACGCTCCGTGTGAAATGTGTGTCCAAATTGGCGGGGGGACGCCATGCGTCTCCACCCACTGATACTGACACCGTAGGCGCAGCTCTCTTGGGGGGGGGGGAGATGGGGGCGGTCGAGATGGTGTGTGTATGCCCCTCTGACGGTGAGGGGCAGGGACCCACTTGCGGGGCGGACGCAGGCAATTCTTCCCAGGAGGGTCCTCTCTTCGCCGCTGCGCCCCTTGCCGAGAGCTCTTCGGGGGCGCCCGACTCGCCCCGCCTGGCGACGGCCTCGCTGATATGCCCCCCTGTCGGAGGAGAAGTTTTACAAGAGCGGGCTGGTGGCCCCGGTGCGAAAACCACCAACAACCCCCCTTGCCACGAACCCCCCCGGCGGAGGACCACCCATACCAGAGCTGCGCCGCCCCGAGCCCGGCGGCCAGCTGGGCCCCCTCCCTCTGGGGTCCGGCTGGGCCCAGGAAGGGCGCGCGCCTGCCTTCAGGCTCCGGTTCGGCGACGCGTCGGCCAGGGTGTGTGGCGGCACAAACTAGGGTTGCTGGCACGAGGAGAGGGTCCTCCTCGCCGCCACGGAAGGACTGCAGAACGGAAGCGCACCACCGCGGACACCCCGAACGTCCTTCGTCGCCACGGCTGGAAATCGGTATTCCGGTACACCGTCCCGTGCGCGTGGACCGCGCGCCGCTGCCCAGACGGGGCTGCGCATGGCAGCCCACCTTGCGTCTCGCCGGGACGCCGAGACTGCGTTGATCCTGCCGCAGGCCCCCCCTTCCGCGGCCGCTTCGCGTCACCCCCCCGGCCGAAGCGGCGACGCACGCTGCCATCTCGAGCGCCGAGAATTTCCGCAGTAACCCGCAGGGCCGGGAGCGTGCCGCCCCCGTCCAAGGTGCCTTCTGCGACAACCCCGTCAATGTTAACCGAGTCTTGGCCGCCACACTCAAGGGAATACAGCGAGCAGGCGGTGGGCCATGTGCGGCCTGGGCCAGGTATTGTTCTCAGCGCGGTGGGGGCATCGGGGACCCTGGCCGACATGAGAATGCCTTCCTCCACAGTGTCCTCCATCTCCTGGCCTCCGTCGCCGCCCTGATTCTCGTGCGGTCGCCCCGTTTCAAGGGAGTCGGAAGACGGAGCAGAAGATGGGATTGACCGTGGTTTGGCCCGCTGGCCTCCACCCTGGCCTGCCGGCCCCCCCCATGTTGCAGGATGTTCAGCCAGCGCGCGATCCCCTCAGCAGTTTTGGCAGTGGGCCTGCTCGCTCGGTGCTCCCACCGCGGTAATTCACTTTGGGTGCCCTAGCCGCTCCCTCTTCTCGCGACTCGCAGGTGGGCCGCTCCCCCGTCCGCGCCTGGCCGGTGGGCCGTTCCCCCCTTCGCGTAGGTGGGCCGCTCCCCCTTCGGTTGGTGGGCCGCTCCCCCTCCCGCAAGGTGGGCCGCCCCTTTCCGCACAGGCGCACAGGGCACAGGTGGACCGCCCCTCTCTGTTCAGGCGCCTCGTTCCGCGCCTCGTTGGCGTACCGCCCCCCTTTCCGATTGGGCGGGCCGCCCCCCCCTTCCGCACCAGTGGGCCGCCCCCTTCCGCGCAGGCGCTCTTGTCCTGTATCTGTGGCACTTTGCACTGCCAACCCTCATCTTTACGCATCGGAGGTCGCCAGTTCGCCGCGCCCGCCCTCCGACTTGCTGGCCCTTTCCAGCCCCGCGCCGCTCCCCAATAGTGGCGTGGCTCGCACGCTGCCCCTCCCCTGCTTGGCAAGCCGACTTCGGCTGCTTTTTGCCAGGTCCCTCCTCGCCTGCTTGGTTTTCATACCAGCCTCCCCTCCATGCGCTGGCCTACTGGTGGATGGGTTGCTGCCGTGACGCCTCGCACTGCCCTCTCGCCTCCCCGCGCCTCGAAGGTCACCAGATCTTGGGGCCTGCCCGCCCACCTGCTAACACTCCCAGTTCCACGCCGCTCCCCATGTTGGCGTGGTTTGGCCTCTTCGTCCTTTGTCCATCGCCTTCACGCCTGCCTGCGCTTGCCGCGCTCAGTGCAGCGCGCTCGTGGTAGCCTGCGCTCCGCCCTTCACGTTTCCCGCCAGACCTCGTAGGTCACCAGAATCCGGCGCTTCGCCCCACCGCTGGGTTCGCCTGCTCCGCCGACTCCCCCATTGGTGTGGTGACCGCATCAACGTGTGCTGCTCCCCCACCTGGCCTTGCCCGGTCGCCGCTGGGCTGCCATCCCCCCCCCAGCTGCTGCCCGGCGCCGCGGCTGGCCCCCCTCCCTCGGCGCTCCCTCCGCCGCAGCCGGTGAATTGCTTGAGCGGGTCCGGTTTCCTCTCTTCCTGTTGCGCAGGGGTATCCTCCTCCTTACGCGCACTGCGGCGCGCCCGCCCCACTGATGCCCGATCGCCAGATCAGTCACCGTCTGCCCAGCCGCCGACGCAAAAAGTGTGTGTGTGTGTGTTTGTGACTGTGCTTGTGCCTGTGTTGGTGTTTGTGTGTGTGGGTGTTTGTGTGTGTGTGTGTGCGTGCGTGCGTGCGTGCGTGCGGGCGGGCGGGCGTGCGTGCGTGGGTGGGTGGGTGGGTGGGTGGGAGGGTGCGTGTGTGAGAGAGAGGGTGTGTGTTTGTGCGTTTTGAGACTGTAGGACGAGCTCCTTTCGAGGGGCACGATCCGCGCAACGGGTGTTCCGAAATGGACGTGCGGATGGAGGGCAGAGGCAGGGGGAAGGAGGGGGGAGCAGGAGTGGGAGGCGGATTGACGGAGCTGAGACGCGGGGCGTTGCGAATCCAAGCCGAGGACCCTTGAGCGGAGAGGGTTTGTGTGGAACGCGTTTCGTCCCCCCAGATCCTGCCCACCGACACCCTACCCCCCCTTTCGCCCCCCCAAACATGCACAGTATGGATGCTTTTCCCTTTTCCCCCCCGAAGATGATAAACAAGTGGGCCTCCTCCCCTCTGCGTGCTGTTTCTTGCTCGCTTACACGCAGGATGTCAAAGGTTGTGCGTGTTATGTTAGGATTGTTGTTTGTCCAATCCGATTGCTTCTGGTGTTGCTACATGGTACTGCGCTGCAGTGTGGGCCTCATTTTCGGATCGGCACTGTGCTCCCGTCGTTCGGACTGGCGCTCTCGCCCCAAAACCGTTATTCAGATTCCGAGTGTTTCTTCATCCTTGACGCCCCCCTCACTTCTTGTCTTCCGCCTTCCCCTGGTCCTCCTTTTCTTCCCTGTCCTTCCGCTGTAGTTCATGTTGCTGTTGCCGTTCGTCCTCCGCTTGTTCCTCCCGCCCATCGTCTTGCTCATCCGCCTCCTCCTCCTCCTGTGCACGCAGCTCCCCTTTGTCCGATCGCGCATGCCACGGAGTGTTTTTCTTGTCCGTGGGATTCGCAGGTCGGCAGTGACATGCTTCCGCGGATAACGCAGCATCAGCGCCAAGGGAAGGGATCTGGGAGGGAGACGATGACAGATGAGTCGCGAGCGCACCCGTCTTGCCTCAGCCCCCTCTCCTCCCCCCTCTCTTCCCATCCCTTGTCCCTCCATCCTCGTCCCTCCCCTCCCTCTATCCTCCTCCCCCCCTCTATCCTCTTCCTCCATCCTCGTCCATCCTGCTCCCCCCTCCCTACTCCCCCTCCATCCTCCCCCCTCCCCTCCCCCTGTGAGCTCGCGCTTCCCGCCTTTCGACGCTCCCTCCGTTGAAGGAGTGAGGGAGGGGAGGAGCGAGGCGGAGACGGAGGAGGAGGAGGAGGAGGAGGAGGGAGGAGGAGGGGGGAGGAGGACAGCAGGAGGACAGGAGGGAGGGAGAGGAGGGGAAGGAGAAGGATGAGGAGGAGGAGGAGGAGGGCGAGGGAGCGGGAGGACGAAAACGCATCAACGATGCTGCGATACACCCTCCTCCCGAGTCCCCTCATCATAGGTCCCATACAAGAATTGATGATCATTGCGGGACGCGCCTCGTTAGACGACGACCGTGTGATAATCTCCAACCGTGCCAAAACACCATGTCTCTGATTTCCCATGTAAGCGCGCAGGATCAACGTAACTGTTGCGTCTTGACCATCCTAAGCAGTGCCGTGAAACCGTTCTTGGGACTTCAGCATCGCGACTCAAGGTGCCTATAGTGTCCTGACAATCCTAGATCGTGCCAGGACATTGTACGATACGAATAGTTCAAACTGTTGTAAGGTTGTATGACGCATGTGCGCGACGATGAAGCGACAGCCACATGTTGAAAAACATCCACCATCCATCCTTGCATAGATTGCGCAACATTGTTAAACCATGCGTGCGGCGCTGACGTGGAAACAACATGTTGGAAGCGGGTCGCCATACACTCTTGAATATACTTCAAACTGCTGAGACAAATACGCGCGGCGCTCACGCGAGGGCAACATTTTGAACTTGGGCCGCCCTCAACCCTTGATGCTGTAGCAACTATTTTACGTCGAATGTGCGTGGCACCAAGACGAGGACTTAGTGTGTCGAAACCATGTCTCAAATTTCATAATCATTATAGGTGAGGAGGGTTCTGGTGAAACGCCCGACCCACCCTACTGACACGTTTGGAGGTGCCGCGCCGACGGAAAAAGGGATGGAGGGGGAGGAAGAGGAGGAGGGATGGGGAGGAGGAGGAGGAGGAGGAGGAGGAGGAGGAGGAGGAGGAGGAGGAGGGAGGAGGGAGGAGGGAGGCGCGGGGAGGGGAGAGGGAGGTAGGATGGATGAGGGAAGAGGGAGAAGAAGGAATGTGGAGGAAGGGGAGAGAGAGGAGGAAGGGGAGGTCGCCCCCCCCCCCCCCTCGCTCGCGACCGCGGGAGGCCCCTTCAGCAGCGCTCCGCGGGCCTCGGAGCGGGCGGGCGCCTGGCGCTGCGCGGCGCGGGCGGACGGCGCGCCGAGGACGCCGCCGCTCGGCGCGGTGGATGGGGGGGGGGGGGGAGCGCCTCCCTCCCTCCCTCCCTGGGCTCTGGGCTCTGGGCCAGGCCACCGGGAGCCGAGCAGTGCAGACATCTGCTCCTCCTGGGGTGGCCCCCCATCCAGCCTCCGTGCCCTCCGTCGCGCAGCCGCGCTCCTGCGCCGACACGAGGCGGCCGGAAGCACGGGCAGGGGGCCCCTTGTTCGAGGGGGTCGCTGTTAGGCTCCCTTCCCCAGGCCTCCCCCTCCTCCTCCCCCTCCTTCTCCTCCTCCTCCTCCTCCTCCTCCTCCTCCTCCTCCTCCTCCTCCTCCCCCTCCTCCTCCCCTCCCTCCTCCTCCTCCTCTTCCCCCTCCTCCTCCTCCTCCTCCTCCTCCTCCTCCTCCTTCTTTTCCTCCTCCTCCCCCTCTTCTCCACTGCGTTCGCTTCCAGGGCCAAGGAGCCGGTCCTCCTCCGTGGGCCTGGGAGAAGCGTGGGGCCAGGATCCGTCGGGCGTTTCTCGGTCCGTCCCTTGTCCTCCCCGTCCCCTAGCCCCGCAGGCGGAGCTTTCCCTCCCCCTGAGCGGGCGCTGCGGGGTCGCGGCAGTCGCCGTCCTTCGGCCCTGCTGCCCTCTGCTAAAGGGGTCGTGCCCGCGTTCCCACAATGCCCCCTCGCTGGGAGGACTGCGTCCATCCATCCATCCATCCTTCGTAACCCTCCTCCGTCCTTCCTCCTGTTCCCCCTACCTCCTCTCTTCCTCCCTCCTCCCTCCCTTTTCTCCTTCCCCCCTTTCCCCGCCACACCCTTCCTTTTTGCCTCCTCTTTCTTCCTTCCTCCTCCCCCTCCTTCCTTCGCGGGTCCCGCGGTTGCGAGGCTTTGCAGTACAGAGTCGCAGCGGCGCGAGCGTCGCAATGTTTGGGCAGTCAGAGGGCGGACGCCGTGCCCGAGCCAGGCTACCACGGCGTGGAACGCAGTGAGCGGCTTGAATAAAGAACACCTACGTTTCAAAAGGGGCTCGGTCGTTCCTTAGGTTCGTATGCGTTAGTTATCGTTCCTTATTCACTATGTATGACGTTTCGTTCCTCATGCATGCGCTTCTCCTTGGAAAAATAGGGTTTCGTTCCTTTTCAATCGTTTCTTCGGTCTGGCCGATGACTTTTTGTGTTGCCAGAGCTGTGCACCGCATGTTTATGCATTCATAAATCGTTGACAGACGCAGGATAGTCCATACTGATATCTAGTTAGACGCGATCCCTCTGTGCGACTGTGTTCAAAAAAAGCCCTTGCCCGCCGCACGCATGCGCGCCTTCCGTGTCCATGATCTCGGTCCTCAAGCCTTCGATTGCTACACCTTCGTTGACATTGCCATGGCATTCGAGCTCTGCTGGCGATCCATCCTCGTGATCCGAGCGTGCCGCCGGCCTCTAGAGCAGGCCTCGTCTGGCCGCCTCATATTCGGCATCACATCGTGAGAGCCTCGTGTGAACCTCTGGTTCCACCTTGAGAGTGCACTCGCGTCGGCTGGCGTCTGGTAGTTGATGAGCTCGCGCCGAGTCAGCGTCGATTAGTAGCGTCGACCGGCGCTGATTTGGCGTCGATTCGCAAGAGCCAGCACGATGGTGTCAGAGGCTCCCACGAAATGCCACCCAACGCAGCGAACGCATGCCGCGCCCGCTCCTCTTCAAGGGCGTCCTCGAGGGCGCGAATGTATTCGCGCTTCGCGTTTCGTCTCCGATTCCTCCTCCTCCTCCTTCTATTCTCCATTGGGGTGTTGCGCGAGAGCGCGAAGTTTTTTCCGCTCCGCGCAGCGCGAAACGCAAGGCACGGTCGTTCAAAAACACGCCCGTGCTGATCGGTCAACCGTGGACATGGTTACGTCTGGTCGATGTTGGCGCAAAGACTCGTTGTCGTCCAATTTGTGCTGTTATCATGGGTGTCGCCAGCTTCGTTGCCGGGAGCTGATGCCAGTTTGCCGATGTAGCGCGTGCTATATCCATCGCGAGCGTTACAGAGTCATTTTACTTGACGGCAGCAGCATTGGCGTCGTCGCCCAGTTGTCGAGCTCCACGAGGAGCCTTGCACGCCGCGTTATGCACATAAGTCGCATCATGCTTTGTCCGAGTCTTTGATGGGGTAGCTTGTTGATGCGTTGTTGTCAAGTGCGTCACTGTTCGTGATGTCCGCTAATCTCGTGTTCTAGCCGCCTCGAGGGTTGTTCGGTCAGTGGCCCTTCGCCGGAGTGTTTTCATAGCCCTGCCCAGCATCCGCCCTTGTTTGAGTTGTAAAAGCTACTGGGGGGAACCGTGAGCGCCCGCGTCCCAGCTCAGTCAAATGTTGTCGGGGTGTAATTACCGAGTTGGTGAGCAGCCGATGGGCAGGTGCGAAGCAGTGTTCATTGGTCTGCTCCGCGCTGCAACTTCTAATCAGACGGGGGCGGAAGTAAGGATGAGGAGGAGGAGGCGCAAGATAAGGAGGAGGGGGGCAGTCAGTGGAAGGAGGCAGGAGGAAGGAGGGGGTGGGCCAGGATCAACAGGAGGAGTGGCGGCAGAATCAGGGGCACCAGGGTCAGATTGCTGGAGTTGAGGCGGACTGGAGCGGACCACCTGTGCGAGAAGAGAGCCTTTTTGAGGTGAGCATGGCTCATGCCCACCTGAGAATAATCCAGGTTTTTATGTTCAGGGTGCCCTGGGTTTCTTCGCGGCGTGATATCGTCCCGCTGGCGTTCAGTGGTTGCTGCGTAAAAGGGTGCATTTGCTTTCCTCTCCATTTGCAACTCGCACGCCAAGTTCCAGAGTCGGGTTCCTTGCGAGGGTTTTTTGCGGCCGCGTCTGCAAAGTATGCGCAGCATATGCTGTCGAGCAGCGTTGCGGCACCCGCCGCGCGCGCCAGCGGATCTGCGGCAAGGAACCTTTACAGCCCGGGGAAGAGGAGGAGGAGGAGGAGGAGGAGGAGGAGGAGGAGAAGGAGAAGGAGGCGGCGGGGACCCTTTCCAGTTGGTTTTAGCATAACTTTCACGCGTTTCGTGGCATGCCTCTTCTCACTAGCTTCGTGATTCGTGGTGCCGGGGTGACTTCCATCAACGGCCCAAGCGGGTGCGCTGGCACGAGGAAGCTCCGTTTACTTCAGCAAAGTTCAGGAGGCAAACATTTACACGACCACATAACACGTTATTTCGCATAAAAGTACGGGAAGCATTGGTCATAACATCGAAGCAATACGGAAGCATATTGGAGATGAGATTTGTGCCGATTCATTTGCGTATCCCTGGAACCCTTCAAGAGTCCCAGACCGCTACGTGGTCTCATTGGGGTGCCCCTGCAGCAGTACTCCGGCGGAAGACCTGGGTAGGCGGCAGGGATCCCCCTCCTCCTTTCTCTCCTGTTCTCTCTCCTCCTCCTCTCTCCCCTCCTCCTGCCCCCCTCCCACCACTCCTCCTTTCTCCTCCCAAAATTTTGTCCGCAGCGAATCATCATCATCATCATCATCATCATCATCATCATCATCATCATCATCATCATCATCATCATCATCATCATCATCATCATCATCATCATCATCATCATCATCATCATCATCATCAGCATCAGCATCAGCATCAGCATCAGCATCAGCATCAGCATCAGCATCAGCAGCATCATCATCATCACCCATTTTGGCTCAGGCTGTTGCTTGTCCGTGGGCTATCGCGGAGCGTTTGCTTCTTGCATTGTGTTGCTCTCGTTTCGATTGATGGTCTCGGTCGCCCGCCTTCAGTGGCTTTCTGATCAGATTCTGCTTGGTCGGGAGGTGATCGTGAGTTTCTCTTACAACGCTGACTTGCTACGTGAGAAGATAAAGTTCGTTCTACCGCGCCAGGGAGTCCCTGCAGGTGCTCCGTTCCGTCCTTGTGTTCTCAATGCTCTTGCTTCGATTCAGGGGGCGATGGAAGGTTGTTGCGTGACAGACAAAGGTCATAAGTCTTCAAATGGTGCCATTGTTGTCGAGTTTTGGATTCAACAGGTGGCTGCTGAGCCACTCACTGGTGGCGATACCGATGACAGTGATGGTGGCGGGCATTTTCCACGCAATCGTGGTCAACGTGGGTCGCGTCGCGATCGCAGCGGCAGCAACGGCCATGGAGGTGGCCCCGGAGCCGGCGACGGCACGTCTTCTCCTCCGCCGCCGAAGAAGCTTAGGCCCGGTCCTACCCACCGTACTTGTAGTTCTTCCTCTGCGCTGCCAGGTGTTCCGGCGTTCCCTATTCTCCGGAGGGTCGACTCGCGCTCCTTGGAACGCCATCGGGTTGCGAGGTCTGGAGCCCTCATTGTCTCCCAAGCTGTTTTTGATCATGGAGTGAACATGTATGTTGAAGATGTTTGTTCTAGAGCGTGTCTCTCAGCGCAGGGCCGGCGCGAACGTGAGGCGATGAATGCTTGCGACAAAGCGTGTTCTCTCATAAACGAGGTCCGGCGGTGCCGTGACCAGTGTCGGTTATTACGGCGTGCGTCCTCTTTCAAGGCGGCCGCTGCTCTCGCGGTGAGCCTCTATGAACTCAAGTTGCGCGAAGTGCAGCTTTCTCGCGGACTACCCGCGCGCCCCCTTTCGTGGGAAGAGGTCAGTTCTGTCTCTGCATCAATCGCGGCTGCTGGCACACGATATATGGTGAAGTTTGCTCCCGTCGCTTCAATGGCTCACGGGGCCCTTGTTACAAGTCGCTCGAGATGTTGGAAGTGATTTCTCTATTATCGGCAGAGTTTAATCAGTGGGTCAATAACACGCGGGCTTATGCGGATTGATCGCACTTATCTATGGGGTCGTTCGTTGCTTTGGGTCCCTGCTCATATTTGGAAGGTTATTCCATCAATGGGGTGTTGCTTCAATCATTGGGCTTGTTGTTTCTCTCAATGGGACGTTGCTTCAAGCAATCAATGGAATGTTGCTTCGATCCATGGGTTGTTGCTTCAATCATCCAGCAGTGTTTTTCAATGGGTTGTTGCTTCAATCAGGCATTCAATCAATGGGATGTTGCTTCCATCCGCAATGTTTTGCATATGTTTTGGATGATGCTTCAACTTATTGGTCGTTGTTTCAATCTGTTGATTGTTCCTTCACTATATCAATGTATGGGTTGTTGTTTATTTATTCGATGGGTGTTGTTTCATTCTGTGTGTTCTTTGATTGTTTCCTCTGGCTTCCGCCGTTCCGCCGTCTCGGCTGGGGGTGGTGGTGCCTGGGTCTCCTCGCTGGCTCTGCTCCCCCCTTCCCTCTTTTGGCTTGCTTTTGGCCCCTTCCCCCTTGTTCCTTGCTTCGGCCTGCCCTGCCCCGCCTTGGGGTTGCGGATCGTTCGGCGTCGAGTCTTTTGACACCCTTCATCAGTCATCGAAACATGCCCTGGGGAAAAAAACATCATCATCATCATCATCATCATCATCATCATCATCATCATCATCATTATCATTATCATTATCATTATCATCATCATCTAGGCCGTGTGCCGCACGCAGACACGCTTGCTTATAAGATCGTCTGGCGTGTAATCGTTGGCGCAAACGAAAAACAATCATTCCTCCTCCCGCTGTTCCCTCTTCCCTCCCCCCCCTGCGCCTCCCGCCCCCTCCTGCCGCAGGACTTCCTCGACGGGGGGCTGGACGCCCGGCCGCAGCGCCGGCAGCAGCGGGCTCAGCCGCGCGCCACCCAGCGACAGCCCGTCGACGACTGTCTGTCCGTCCCCGCCGAGTTGCACGCGAGGACCGGCGTCGAGCTCAGGTGAGGTACGAGTCGGGCCGGACGAAAGGGTCAGGATAGGGTTCGTTCGGATGCAATTCGTGGGGTGTCAAATTCTGTTTTTGCCCTGGTCCGAAATCCGGCTTAATCCTGCTCAATCCTGCTTGGTCCGAGGCCCTTTCCGGCGTAACAGCTCCCAAATGGGGCTGAATCTTCCTTAATCTTTCCGACGAAAGCCTCCCAGTAGTTTCCTCCTAAGGTTCGGGACCTTGAGACGGGGGGCCAGTGAAAGCGAGGGTCAGCCAGAGCGCCGGATCTTCCAGGATCCTGGCAGGGACCGTGTCGCATGGACCTGGGTTTGGCCGGGCTTGGGTGCAAAATCTTGCAGAATCTGCAGGATTTTGCAAAGCCTGACTGACCCGGGTCTGAATTGACACGGGTCAGAAGATCCCCGAAAGGGTTAAGTCGGGCATGTCCTTCCACGGGAGGAGTAATCAAAGACAGTCTCAAAAACAGCATGGGGACGATTTGTTTTTGTCAATTTTTCTGATTTCTTGGCAACCCAGTGTTTGTCCCAAGTCCTCCTGTAGGAGGACATGCCCGACGTAAGGACAGGGAGGGGGGGGGGGGTACGAAATTAGGTGTACTTACGCAGCTGGTTTCCGCCGCGGCCGCCGGGTCCACTCTTCGATACACGGGCGCCTCCAGGCGCCAGGAGACGCCGTTCTTCGACACACGGGGGCCATCCGGCGACGTGAGTTGATTCTTTGCTCTGCCCTTGAATTCTTCAGGCTTACGCCACATCCGCCGACCCCTTGGATTTTCCCCGGGATCGTTCACCACAGCTTCCTTGCAAACCGTGGGAAAATGAGGATGTTCAGGGCCCGTCACAGCGAGAAGGGGAGCCGACATGGGTCGCAAACTGGCCCAGAGGGCTTCCAGTTGGCCCAAACGAACCCCAAGACGGCACAGGGAGGTTTTGTGGGCTGTCTTTGGGGTCTTGCACGGGTGCCGGAGCCAGGGAAGTATGTTACACCCCGGAGACATCTTACGGTTGTCGGCGGTTTCCAAGCGGGATGTCCCGCTAACTGTTAATGTTCGGGGACGTTTGGACTGACCTTGTCGATGGCAATGACGTCGTTGATGATCACGACACTGATGACGATGATCGGCCAAGCCGTGAGACTCGCTCGGCGGCCGGATTAAGAAAAGAGGCGGGGTCGGAAGAAGAAGGAGCAGGAGGAGGAGCAGGGCGAGTAGGGGCAGGAGGAGAAGGAGGAGGGGCAGGAGGAGGAGGAGGAGGCGTGGGAGGAGGGGCAGGAGGAGAAGGAGGATGGGGCGTTGATGTTGCTGTTTGCTGACCCTGTCGCTGTCCTTTCCTCGTCCTCCTCCTTCTTTTCCCCCTCCCTCTCCTCCTCTCCTCCTCCCCCTGCTCCTCCCTCCTGCTCCTCTTCCTGCCTCTCCTCCTCTTCCTTCTCCTGCCCTTCCTCCTCCTCCTCCTCCTCGTCCACCTCCTTCTCCCCTTCCCTTCCCCGCCTTTTTCTCCTCCTCCTTGTCCTTTTCCTGCTGTTCCTCCTCCCGCCCCTCGTCCCTCTCCTCGTCCTCCTCCTCCTCCTCCTCCTCCTCCTCCTCCTCCTCCTCCTCCCCCGCCTTCTCTTCCTCCTTATCCCCCTTCCCTTCCCGGCCTTCTCCTCCTCTTCCTCCCCCTCCTTGTCCTCTTCCTCCTCCTCCTCCTCCTGCTCCTCCTGCTCCTCCTCCGGAGCACACGAAAGACAGGGCCGCGACGTACCGAGCGAACATGCACATGAAGAGGTTTCTCAGTGACATGTGCGGGAGAGGCGCGGTGCGGTCAGCGCAGGAAAGTACGAATCTGCGCGCGTACCGAGACCCCAGAGACGCGACTGGTGCGGAGAGTATCAAGACTGCGAAGACAGCCATGATCCCGAGAGCAGAAGCCGCGCGCATGGCGGAACGGCTCTGTGCTGACGGGGACGGCGTTCCCGTAGCAGCGTCGGGGATTCTGTAAGCAGACAAACGAGAAGGGCCAAAAACGGTTCGAAGTGTGTCGAAGAGTCCAGTGTACTTGTACGGCATGCGCCCGGTTGACGCTCCTGGTGCGCCCGACTTGGCACACTTATCGTTGTATGAGTTCTTGCGGTATTGGCGCATCGAGTTGGCAGCATTTCCCCGCAGCGGAGCAGAGTTGGCAGCCGCGGCCACGAACGATTACCAGGCGGAGCTGACGGAGTCCGGTATTCGGAAGGTCCGCGAAGCGGACGAGCTGAGAGCGGATGCTGACGAGAGCGGCGCGCAGCCCGGGCCCCAGTTGAAAGCCGGAGTTGATTATGTGATCAAGGCGGGATGGGGAAGTTATTCGTGGGTCCCGTTTTCCAGATGTTCCTGAGCTCGAAACATTGAGGCACACGTGGGTGCTGGTGCGAAACGAGCGCCCGAGAAATCCCAGCTTTCATGGGGCACCACAGCCGAAACACGGAGCGGGGCAGGAGGATAGGAACGGGCTGTTGTTGATGGTATATCTCCGGGCCTTCGCACTTCGCGACGATGAACAGTTCGCGGGGGCCGACTGTGGAGTACCACACCTGTGAGAGTTCCGCGGAGAGCAGGGGTCATGGGCGGAGGCGTCTTTGCAATGGTTGAGGAAAGGCATGCCATGTGAAGAAACGAGGAGGTACGTGCAGAGCTACATGGGCGTGGTGGATACGCGACCTGTCACGGGCGAAGATCTCGTCGAAGGGGAAGACGAGCTGCACAGCGATGAAGATCTGGATCCGCGAATTGTCGACGCGGCGACTATACGGAAGACGCGCGCGGGAGGCACGCCCATGGAGAAAGAGGGCGGGCGGACCAATGTAGACGCGGAGTGCGAAAAGGAGAAGAGCCGGGGGGCCGTGGCCAGGGGCGACGCCGTTCGGGGCGAGATGACGAGTCGAAAAGATGGAAAACGCGAAAAGCACGGAGAGGACGGCAGGTTGAAGTGGGATGACGCGGCAGTGACAAGAGCGCAAGCGGTGGCCGCGGCGTCGAGGGCGGCAGAAGGAGGCGGCGCCGGGGCAGCGGACGGTGCCCCGCAAGTGGCCACGGCGGAAAAAGCAACGGCGTCGAGCGTGCGGGAGTGGAGATCCGGTCTCGCAAAGAGCGGTCTGAATGAGAGACAGCGGAGCGTCGTTGAGAAGGTGGCAGATCGAGTGTTGGCGCAAGAGTTCGCGAGTTCCGCGCAGAGAAGGACTAGGGGCCCGAGCCCTTCTGGTATGCAGCCCCTGGTGTGGATGTTGCACGGTGGCCCGGGGGCGGGAAAGAGTTTCGTCATGGACAAGATCCGGAGGGAGCTGTTCGAAAAAGAGCTGGGGTGGGCGCGCGGCGTAGATTTCCAGGTAGCAGCGTTGCAGGCTACAAACGCGGCAGCTCTCGATGGGAATGCAATTCGCAGCGCATTCGGGCTCGGGGTGGCGAACGCGAAAGAGAAGAAGGACGCGGCGGGCGAGGGCGACGCAGAAGCGAAGAAGAAAACGAAGAAAGAGCAGGCCGCGCAGCGTATGTCACAGTGGAAGTGGCTGATAGTAGACGAGGTGAGCATGGTCAGCGCGAACTTCATTGCAGAGCTAGACTCACACTTGCGGTCGTGCGTGTCAGCTGCAAGCGACACGAAAGCGGGTGGGGGCGGCCTAACCAGGCCCTTCGGGGGCGTGAATGTGCTGTTCTGCGGGGATTTCTATCAATTGGACCCGCCGTCAGGGACAGCCATAAATGCGCTTCCGACGTCGTACTTGAAGAACGCCAGGAAATGCGCGCCGGGTGCCGCGGAGGACCACGGACAGTACATCTTTTGGGGAGCCGGTGGCGACGGCGCTGTGCAGGGAATGACAGAGTTGACAGAGTGCAAACGCGTGGAGAATCAAGACGAGTGGTTTCTCGCAGTGCAGGACGAGTTCCGCCGAGGGGAGTTGTCGGAACGCACGCGCAATTTTTTGCACGGCAGACCGACGGATGTTCCGGGGTCGCGGGTGAACGGTGCACCGTTGTGCGGGAGCTAGCGGCGCCTCGAAAGCATAGAAGCAATCGCGAAAGACAACGAGCTTCAATGCGGCGCTTGCAAAGCTGAGCTGGAGAAGAGAACAGTCGTTGCGACGTCGCCGCACGATGCGCGGTTTCGGGGGACGAAGTTCCTTGAAGCAGTCGCCATATATGCGAATCAAGACATTCGTTGTCACGTCGGGAAGCAGAGAGCCGTGCAATGGGCGAAGGAGCGCGGAGAACAGTTGCTGTGGGTCGCAGCCAGGGACCGCCCTTGCCATGGGGGAGAACAGAGGCGGCCGTACACGATGGAGGACAAGATACGTTGGCTGGGGTACCACGAGAAGGAATGCGCAAGCTTGCCCGGGTGGCTGCCGTTGGCGAAGGGGATGCCCGTGGCTTTGGGAGATCACTTGGATCGGTCGAAGAAGCAGCTTCTGCGGGGGCGCACGGCGACGATCCATGGGCGGGCGTTGCACGAGGATGAGGTCCTTGGAAACGGCGAGGAGGAAGTATTGATGCATATTCCGAGAGTGATTGTGTTGGACTTCCATACGAAAGAGTGGCACCTGCCAGGGTGGGGGCCGGGGCTGTATCCCATCTTCCCATCGAAAGGGCGGAAATGGTTTTTGGGCGGATATCGGAAGCATCCAGTATTGAGTGTGAAGCGCACGCAGTTTATGATCACCCCGGTTTTGGCAGAGACGGCGCACTCTGCGCAGGGCTGGACCATGGCTGCTGTGATAGCAGATCTTGAAAGAGGGCGCGGCGTGAGTTGGATGGCAAGTTACGTTGCCATCGCGCGCGCGCGGAGGCGGGGGGACTCGTTGATTTTCAAACCTTTCGATAGGGAGCCGCACAACGCGGGGGAGATGCCAGGCGCAGAAAAGTTATTGCAGGTGCTTCGGGGGGAGAGTGGGATGGGATGAGTGGGAAGAGGAACTAATGCCACGAGAGCAGTGCGAGCGCTGCCGGCGGAGGTTGTTGGTAGA